ATGATCCAAGATTGTGACTTTGCAAGGCAAATACGATGATATGAGAAGAGGGCAAGAAATTGAAGAGAAGACACTACAGAGTTGAACTGGTTCACCAAGGGGTCAAGCTGGGGAAGGGAGGAGAGTATAGCTAGTATAGGGGTGATGGCTTGGCAACCTTACTAACTACCTTATGTTTAACAAAACTGGACCTATTTTGTCTATATGTACTTAGACATTGTTTTTCCAATAGCATTGTATAGCTATGAGAATTGGACTATAAGGAAAGCTGAGAACCACAGACACTTTTGAATTGTGGTGCTGGTGGAGACTTTTGAGAGTCCCTTGGATAGTAAGGAGGTCAAATCAGTCAATACTTAAAAGAATTTAATTCAGGCTGTTCACTGGAAGGTCAAAGACTGAAGTGGAAGCTTAAATACTTTGGCTGCATAAGAAGATGGGACGCTTTGGAAAAGACCCTGATGTTGGGAAAGACAAAAGGAAAGAGGGATGGCAGATGAGATGGATAGATAGTATCATGGAAACAATGAATATGAACTTGGACAGACTTTGAAAGATAGTGAAGGATGGAAGAGTGTGCTATGGTCCATGAGGCCATAAAGAGTCAGACATGACTGAATGATTCAACAACAACATACTTACACATTGCTTCTGCAGATTGAATGCAAGCTCCTTGAAAGAGGTTTTTATTTCAACAGAGAGAGATAATGTAAACTTGGTTAAAAGCTTTTGTCTAAGTAAATGTACAAAAATCTATTAAATGAAAATAGGCTGAACCAAAAAACACTACTGGTTTTAAAAGAAACTTGACAATTTAACATTTTTTTCTAGACTGGCTCATATGGATATGTGGCTATGTGAACTAAAAAAGCATAAATCAAGAAAAGTAACTAATTCAAGCAATTAGCTAGGTAATTCAAACCAGTAAAATTGTCTCACCTACAGTATATGAATATTACAGATGAAATTAGTTTAGAATGAAAATGGATAATTTACTCATTTCTACAGTGTGTGTGTAAAAAAAATCTTGGAGGGTTAAGTGCTACATGAGATTCAAAAAACACTTAAAAACAAGTCAATCAGGTATGTTGACTAACACTGGAAAAAAAGTTAATATAAGCAGAAACATAAGCAGAAATTCTTTATATTTTATGAGTAAGGAAATCAAGTAATATTCTTTATTTTGAGGAGAACATTGGGCCAAGTCCTAAAAAAACAGAACAACAAGAACAAAAAAAAAAACCACATGAACATTAAGGATTTCCTGTTGCTTAACCTGAAAGAATTATGCTGTGTCAGACTTTGTTAAATGTCTTATAAACTATAATTTTTAAAAACTATAAATCATATATATATAAAAGAAAATTCCTCTGCATGTTGGTACTTCCATGAATCTGGGATCTGATTGATGTAGATATAAAATTTAAATTTATTTTGGGAAAAGTCATTCTCTCCAGGATTAAGTACATAATACAATTCAAACATGCTCTTAATTACATGGGAACTTGTACTAGGTCTAATGTTAAATGATTATAAGCTCATAACAGTAGAGATTTCACATAAGTTGTCTAATCAATTATGAAGTATTCTGTGCATTTATGGTACATAATTCTGCTGGTATTAACCCTTAAAGCCCTTTGAATTGTTTGTCATTACTACAATTAGACTCATGAAGTAAAAATCTACAGTTTCTAGGCTTCCTTCAAATCTCATCTAAATTCAGTCTTTTACAGGAAGCCTTTCCTATTACATTCCCTTGGGAATTTTCAATTTATCTGTATATAGCATATTTGCACATAGGTTTTTGCATACTGTCTCCCCCATCAGGCTGTGACCTTGAGGGGAAGGATTGTTTTTTCCCTTTTTTTGTATCTCCAGTTCTTAGCACAGTGCCTGGCACATAGTAGGCATTTGATACATGTTAATTGACTATTTTGAGGAGATTTTATTAATATATTTTGTAACTTTTATTTCTCCAACAGAATGCAACAAAGAAAAATGCTCACAAAAAAAAAATACTGACACAGAGAAATCAAGTTGAAGAACTGTGGAAAAAGTAATTACTTGTACTTTGATCTACCATTTGTCCATTCTTTAGATAAAATACTGGTTCCTATTTGCCCTTAGAAAAGTTGAACAAGTTCCAGTTTAAGGAAAAAGTCACTTACCTTTTAAAACATAATAAACTAAAGGTAGTTCTGACTTTTCCAACGTTTTGTGAAAAGGATTTTGTTGGCATTCTAGTCTAACCTTGCTTTTTCTCTTATCTAGGGCAAAAGAGGATAGGAAAAGAAAGTTAACAGACATACTGGGAATAAAGAAATCCCAAGCCATATTAGCCGCTATTTTGGAAAAAGAAAAGTTAAAACTTATCTTGATAAACTAGTAGAGTGGTATTGTAAAGTAGATTTTTACATTTAATTGTATAATCCTCATGGAATAAAAAAAAAAGCATACATAGTGGAATTCTCACTGGCATCAATATCACAGTTACCAGATGGAGATTAGGTGTCTCCTATGTGATGCCTAACAAATTATTTTGTAGTATTATAATAGAATTTTAGTCAGTCAATAAGGAATGTCTGCCATATGCCAGGCACTGTACAAGTGCTGGGATAAAAAAAGAAGTAAAGGATGATCCTTGCCCTTTCAGAGATTACAACCTAACAAGGAGACAACATGCAAACAACTATGTACAAGCAAGCTATATACAAGATAAATTGGAAATAATAAAGAGGAAAGGTCCTAGAATTAAGACAGATTGTGAAAGACTCCCCATAGAAGGTGGGACTTTAACTGGAACTTGAAATAAACCAGGAGTCAGAGATGAGGAGGAAGAACATTCTAAGCATAGGAGACAGTCAATGAAAACGCTCAGAGACGAGACATGAAATGTCTCGTTCAGAGAACAGACAGGAGGCCAATATCCCTGGATCAGAGAGTATGTGGTGGGAGGGGTAAGAAGACTGGAAAGATAGGGGCGAGGTACATTCTAAAGGACTTTGAACACCAAATGGAGGATTTTGTATTTGACCCTGGAGATGATAGGCGTTTATTGGTAGTGGGGAAGGGGTGATAAGGTCAAACAGGCAGTTTAGAAAAATCATTTTAGTGGCTAAATGAAGGATTTAAAACTTGCATAAATTTCTACTTGTTCTTGCCATTCTACCTATTTTATGCATATTGTCCTCCTAAATTAAAGTATAATTTAATGCTGAAGTAAAAAATAACTCCCAATATCCCAAATCCACTTTTCCCACTTCAACCCCTATCCAACCTACATAAAAGACAGAGAATGGCAAGGATTTTGTGGATACACAATGGTTTTTCTTTACTTCAATCTTCCTTCCTTGTTTGTAGAGTAGAAAGAAGTCCTAGATGTGATAAATAGTGTATAGAATACCAGACCTGGAGTCAGGAAGACCCAAGTGTTAATCTCACTTCTACCGCTGAGCATCTCTACCTGTTCGCATAGTTGTGAGACTCCAAAGAGATAATAAACCTTAAATTATTATATAGGTTTCAACTTTTCTCACCATGCCCATCACTCTACTACCTAATTTAGATAATGATGTTCGGTTCTGGAAAGAACCTTAAAGGTCTAGTCCCCCCGTTTTAAAGATAATCTCTGAGTTTCAGTTACTTGCCCATGCAACTATCATTGCTGGGATTCAAATCCATATCTTCTAATCTTGTACTATATCACATTATGTTGCTACTATTTCCAAGTACATAATAATTACTACAAATCTACCCTAATATAACTTCCTCAATTTCATGGAGCCAAGCAAGGGTCTGCCAGTTATAATTTACTTGCAGAGTAATTTAACTAGACCGAAACATGGCATTGTAAAGCATGCTGGATTGAGAAAACATGGAATCAAATCCTGCAGGAGGAAGACTAGGAGTGTCATGAAAATCTAGATAGAAAAGTACCAAAGGGAGAGGAGCATGACACACAGTATCAAAAGCTTTAAGAAAGGTCAAAAAAGATGAGGACTGAGAAAAAGCCATTAGACTTGGCAATTAAGAGATCAGTTTCAGTTGAAGAGGTTGTAAGCCAAACTGCAGAATTAAGAAGAGAGTAAGAAGAAACTAGAGGCACAAACTGTAGACAAGGAGTTTAGCCACAAAAGGGAAAAGAGATATGAGACTGGAGGTGGCAGGAATGGATAAGTCAAATGAGAATTTTATTGTTTTGTTTTTTAAGATGGGACAGACATGGGCATATTTTTAGGAAATGGGGAAATAGCCAGCAGAAAAAGAGAAATGGAAGATTAGCGAGAGAGTAGGGATGATAGAGGGGACAATCTGCCGGAGAAGTTGGGATGAAACTGAATCACTTACACGAGTAGAGAGGTTTGCCTTGGTAAGAAAGACCACTTCTTCATGAAGAAGGGTGATGAAGATAGTGGCAGAAGGCATCCGAGTGACACAAGGAGGAAGTAATAGGAGGGAGTTCTTGGCACATGGCCTCCAATTCTTTAGTGAAATATGAGGCCAAGTTCTTATGAGTCATTCACTAGTGGATGATGCCAAAAGATCATACCTTCTGAGCTGTATCACACTAGCCTGGACAATCAACCATTTCCTCACCACCTAGGCTCCATCTAAATTTGTCTGAATGACCTCTGTGTGTCCATGCACATGAACATGAAGAGGGGGAAAATAGAACACTGTAGCTTTCAAAGTTCCTTCTGTGAAAAATATGTTGAAACAAAACTATGGCAAACGCCCCATCAAAGTGCGTAAGGAAAAGCATTTTGGAAACATTTTTATATAGAAATATTTATTACAAAGATTTTTTTTACAACAAAGTAAATCACATGGTCATATTGTAGGAAAAAGGAAAAAGGAAAAAGGAAAAGATTAAACTTAAAACACACAAAAAAAGAAGAAAGTGCTCATAGCAATATATTGCAGTCTCCATGAAAGTGCATCAATGGCTAATGCCAAAGTACCAACTTGGTGCTGGCATACTCAATAACGACTGGTAAACCTTAGAAAGCAAAATGCAAAAGTTCTTTATTTTTTTCTGAAGACATTTAGATGGAGCACATTTATGAACCCATTTGTACTCATACAACTATTTTAAAATGGTTTCTGGCTACAAAAGGGTACAGATACAATTACTTTACCAAAAGTCTGCTTAAAAGCAAGTCAGATGGCTTATAAAACAAAAACTTTGCCAGTTTGCTCTTCATACTTTACATTAAGACTCTCATAATCCAAGATTACAGAGTTGATTTAATTCAGTGGCAGGAGTAAAATGCAGCTATGTCGCTCTCATGTTCATTTCTAGCTCCTAGTTTATGTAATCCAGTTATTGCCATATGAAGACTACTCTCAGCATGTCTTGAATTTTTATGTAAAGATGGTTATAATGCTATAACTACATCTGCAGTTTACATGCTAGCTTGTTATATGAAGTGCTACATGTGTGTAATATATTTTGCTCTATTCTATACCATGTGGTTATATAAAAATAAATGTGCTCTCCCAAGTTCAACCAAAATATCCATGGCAAGAAAGCACTAGATGACTATCAAAACTTTCCACATATTTCTCAAACCCTCACCATCAATAGGATAATACTGAGACCAGGTTAACAAACTCCAATTTTCATAGTTGGAGGAGAAATTATTTTAATAACTATATTTAAATGATGGGCATAAGATACAAGGAACATGAGGCTAGTCTTACTCAAAAAGAATGAGTACAACTACCATTTTAGGGGGCAAGTAATGCATCTGAATTCTAGAGCATATAGATGGATAGATAATGGACATCTATCAAAGAGCAACCATATTAAAGCATAAACATCACTTTTCTATTCTACATTCTCTCTACCCTCAGGGCAAAAGTGGAAGATTAGCATTACCAATTATTCCCCCCATTTCAGTTGGTGGGGTATTTTTCCTAGTTGTTTAATCCCTAGATATGAAGGGGACTTCTTAACTCAAATTTACATATTTTTAGTTTCTTTGAAGTTTACCCCTTTAAGGCATAATGGTCATAAACTCAAAAGAAACATCTTGACCATTTATGGGTGCCCTAAAGTAAGGACTGGTGCTATAATTCAGTAACAGGGATAGCAACAACTAATTAACTGTGTTACACAACAGATACATTACTTTCGGCTTCACTGGAGACTGTTTTTGTATAAGGACAACAAACAAAGAGCTGATTTCCAAGAGTTTTCTGGGCATATCTGAAATACATCATGTGACCCATTACCACAAAAGAGACTGAAATCAACACAAGTAAACCAAAAGCTTCAGGATTGGGGGCCAAGATGACCATGATGAAATGCACAAGATCTAGAAGATAGTTCATAGAGTTCTGTACACCATTTATAATGCCTCGTTCCGACTCTATTACGTTTTCTTGTAGTAACTGTGTCACAGTCAAATCAAAGGCCCAAAGACCTGTAACGATAGTAACAAAAAAAAGATACAAAATGTTTTCATTTTTCCATATTTGATTTATGATCACATTTTCAGATTTCTAAAATAATACCCTACTTTATTTGTAAAATAAAAATTTAAAGATCTGACAGTACTGCCTTCAGTTTATTCATATGTAAAAGATGGGAATAAGAATGCTTTCACCACTTATCTCATAGGATTTTTTATAAGGAAAAACTTTCAAAGTTTTTAAATGTCACATAAATCGAGTACTTCTTAGAGGATCATGGATTTAGAGCTAAAAAGTTTAAAGGTCATTGGAGCCAACCCCTTCATCGTTGGTAAGAACCGAAGTCCATAAAGGTTCCCAGACATGTTCAATGACTTGCCCAAGATCATACAGGTTGAAGATTTAGGGTACCTGCCTAGATTCTTTGATCTGACACCAATTGTCTCATACAGTGTAGTAGAAAGAACAATAAATTTGTTTTCTGATGACCCAAGTTAAAATCCCAGAACTGCTATTTACCACCAGTGTAATACTGGGTGAGTCAAAAAGTCTCAGAGTCTGTTTCCTTATCTATAAAGTGAGGGTGTAGATTAAATGATTTATCCTCCTTTCCAATTCCAAATCCAATGTTACTATTCCCCATAGAGGCTTACCATGATATTTGCTAATGACTTAATTCCTTAAGTTATTCAAAACAACTCAATAAGAGTTTAACTGAGTGCCATCACAACTTTATTCTGCTACTGATTTATAAAGTATAATATGCAACATGGAAGGAAGTCTTTGAAATCCAATCTGTGATGCCACATGTAAAGATTACTAGAAATAATATTTTTAAAGAATGGAATAACACATATATTCATGATAAAGGGCTTAAAGTCTCTTTACAACATAATTAGTAAACTCTCTACATCTATGCTTTATTCTTTACGATAAATCTGTCTTGGCTGAATATTGATATGTCTGATAAATTAGTGCACTCATTTCGTGCCACAAGATGAATGCAATTTCACTTCAAACGAAGTCCAGAAGTAACATGCTAGCACTCTATTAATTATTACTTAAATTTGCTCTGTAAGTAATTCTTACATTGTGAACCAATATTTCCTTTTAGATCTACCAAAAACAAAATAAACAAACCACAAAAAAAGATAGCTATTCTCATCTATTCTTTTTTCTGAATAACCTCTAAAACACTGCCTTATTCTCATGGAACTATACTGTGACAAATCTGTAAGTAAAAAAAAAATCTTTGACTTGTGTGGTACAGCTATGAAAGCTCTGAATTACCAAATAAAATTGTAATGAAGCAGTCAATAGCCTACTCCCCTTTCCCAATCATTAAGCTTTCTTAAGCAATTAATTCCAATGGAACAAAGTAAGGAATGCTAGAGGTGGGGAAAGGACTTGTAAATATTAGTTTGATTATAAATTTGTTGCTACCTGAATTAAGGTTATCAGAATTAAGAATATTTAGAAATATCCTTAAACCCTAAGCATCTAGTTATTCTTAATGATACTTAAGTATACTAAATTCTACTTCAAAAAGTATTCAAAGGAGCAAATATCTTTACTCTTCTATCTCTGCATTATTTGTCTTCCTTAAGTGATTGATAAATTAAAAAAAAAAAACTTTCTTACCAATTCTAGCAGCAATGACTCCTGCAAACAGCAGACTGACAGAGATTAAAGATACAGGCTTTGGACTCATCTCTGTGTATCCCTCAGTAGGATAAGACTCATTTAGTAAATTGTACATTCCAGTTGTGAAGAAAGTTTCAGGTCCTTCCGTAGGTACTGGAGACAATTCATTACCCTGAATTAATCTAGTATGGATGTCTTCAAAGGGAGAAACTGTTAAGTCCAAAGGACTTCCAGGCATGAAAACGGAGACCACACAGAGGGTCAAACAGGCCATCTGGGTTATTCCAGCGATTACACCTGTTCGAACCAGGCCACACTTTTCTCGTAGTCTGGTGAAAGCCATTGTTCCCATAATACCAGTGATAGCTGAGGCTGCCATGAGAAGACTGAGCACTGACCCACTCAGACCCTGAGTGTAGGCATAGCCAGTAGTGATGCAGTCAAAGCCCAGGACAGTCATATAGAGGAAAGAAAGACCCAATCCAGCAAGAAACACGGGTTGGTTGTAGTATGAGATCCATCCCTCACGGAAGGTACGGAAAGGCTCTGCTATCTGGGAAGCACAGCCAGGCTCTTCTTCATTGTCATATTCAGACTTCTCAGAATGTTTTTCACCCATCAGATGGGATCCCTCCTGGACTTTCTCAATATCTGTTAATTTGAAAGAAAAAAAAAGCATTGATCCTTAAGCATTTAATTTAAGAGAACAAGCCATTCAGTAGTTATCTTATGACTATACTTAAAAACCTTGTATTTTTCTTCCACTTTCCCAAATGCAATGTGTTCTTTTATTATTTTATTAGAATAATAACTTTTTTATTATTTATGGTCTTTTATTATTTTATCTGAATATTTACTTCAATAATAATTTCAGTGTTCTGATCAAAAAGCAACTGAAGTGTGAACTTCTAGAGAATTTTCTAAACAACAAAGTCTGCCATACCCACATTTTAATGACATCCTTTATATAAGGATTACACTTGTTCCTTCTTTCCTTTTTCTTTTTGCATGTTGTCACCTTCATTAGAATGTAATATCCTTTAGGGTAGGCACTGTCTTTTGTCTTTCTCTGCATCCTCAGTATTTAGCACAGTACCTCACATATAGTAACTGCCCAAAAATGCTTGTTAGTTGACTAATTTTATGAATGTGCTCTTTTATCACATCTTCATTTTATTCTGTCTGTTCTTATGTCAACTTCCCTATAACTCCTCCTTAAGATGTCTGAATAATCGTACCCTATTCTGCTCCCCATACCTCATGTGCTTCCCCATGGGTCCACCAGGTAGTCAAGAGGTGGCTAAACCTGATAAGATCCACATAGATTAAAGAAAGCTTGGGGTTTTCCTCATTAATTAGGGCTGGGGCTTTGATAGAGGATAAAGATAGGGACTGGACCTATGACTTCATTAGCATATAGAATTCCTGAGCAAGGAAACTCCCTCTACTAATGCAGGTCTGTGCCTTTTCTTATAGTCTTACAAAGCTTCCTGGGACATTGAGAAGTTAAAAGACTTGCCAGAGATCACTGAGCTAGGAAGGATCTTGGATCCAGGATTTACTGGTTTTGTGGCCCAACTCTCTACCTACTACAACAAGCTACCTCTTTGGGGGCCTTGAATGCTTGTGAAACTCTGAATATGTTCAAAGTCATTTGGTTTGACTATCAGGATACAAGGTTTGATCATCTTTTTTGAGAATACCTTTCTGTAAATTCAGTTGTTTCAGTTCTGTTTCATCTGCTTTTGGAGAAGCTTTCAAAGCCAGAGCTGGGGTTTTCTGGTAAACTTTCCAGAGTAAGAAGTACTCCACACACATGGACACCAAATTCCATCCAGAAATGAACCCACAGCCAATCACTGGAGAGCCAAATGTCATTATCTGACCAACAGTCATGGGGGCCAGAATATTAGTTAACTGGTCAATTCTTCGTATTGTAGCATTCATGTCTGTGGAAAAATCATTGAATGATAGACATTTGTAAAAAATCTATAAGAGAAATAGAAAAAGTCATACATATGATATCAAGACAGACCTAATCTCAAAAAGCTTCTTTTAAAAAAAAAAAAGTACATATTGCTTTGGAAGAAATATTTATAGTTTTTCAAGTTATAATAAAAGTCTCTCAAATTTTTTGTACAATTGGAAATGACTATATTTCAAAACTGATTCTATTTCATAAAAAAAAAAGTCATTGTATAAGAAAGAAAATTTAGGCCTGAAACCTACTTGTCTTGTCATTTCCTATATTTCAGAGAATTAACCAGATCCTGTGTATTGTTCAAAGCACCTTGACAGAAAGGCATTGAGAATACTAAGCATGTAGTTAGAAAAAATTGCCTTTAACAATTTTTCTAATTCCTTCTGGTAGTCAATTACCTTCCAGTTGGTCCCATTAAACTGGTGAATATACAATACCTATTGATAACAGAAGAACTTTGACATGTTTCCCAGTTTCTCTAGAGAGGCAAGGGTAATACTGATTTTTAAATGAGGCTGTTTTTGCTATTTATGTATTTATTTGAGGCAACTGGGGTTAAGTGACTTGCCCAGGGTCACACAGCTAATAAGTGTCAAGTGTTTGGTCTGAGGCCGAATCTGAACTCAGGTTCTCCTGACTTCAGGGTTGATGATACTATCCACTGAGCCACATAGTTGCCCCACAGTAATCACTTTTGAAATTCATATTGAATTGAGATTCCATCTCTTATACTTTTTATGTGTAGATACAACCCACATGGCCAGGAAAGAAGTGTCAAATTAAAACAAATACCTGGATAATCTGGGTCAAAAAAATGCTTTCATCTGAAAGATAAAGATAAGTGGGACTAATTTTAATTCAATAGATAAGGTCATATGAACTCTGCCTCATTTTGTAGCTATAAACAATTTTCAATTTCCTTACTATTATGTGTTGATTGCTTCCTGCACAACTACTAACTCTACCAAATTTGTATTTACTATCAAATAGAAAAAAAGTTTTCTCAATTTCATTTTTGGAGGTTTGTATTACATTTGTAATAGCTAATCGATGAAACTAAGTAACTAACTACAATTAAAGAGAAAGACAAGTAAAATGAGAATTTTAAATAGCAAGGATTCATTCAATAAATAGCACATAGTACAAGCTACTATTTGAATGTGAAATTATTTTTAACTAATGACAGTGGACAAACCAAACTAGATATTAACATTGATTTCTAGGATGAACAGCATAGGCAAGTAAGGAAACCCTTTAAAACTACGCTTCGGAAAAGTAGGAAAAAAATAAAATACACCAAGATTTTAGTTAACAAATCAATTTACATGAAAGCAAATGGTTTTTAAAAAAACGATTTTTTTCTTTGACATATTTACAGATGCTTTTATTGTTTTGAGAGACATGGAAAATGCACATATATACATATACAGACCCCTTAAAAAAGATGCATTAATGAGCAGCTATTCTAAGTTGGGCATGCAATAGCCAATCATTTCAGCATTTTTAAAAATTATTCATCGCCTAAAAGGAACTAGCCTACCAAACACATACAAACACACACACACACACACACACACACACACAACACACATATAAGGAGAGGGAGATGGAGACAGAGAGAAGGAGACAGAGAAATCAGTATGATGGGGACTTTAAGAGAAAAAAAAAAAAGCTCAGAATGAGTCATACCCATTAGGTGCCTGCATTCCAGAAGGGCTAGGCCTTATTTTAGACTTCAATATGTAAAATAGATATGATATGCTAAGTATTAACAGCTGGTCACAGGAAGAAAGGTTAATGAGAAAATTAGAATCATTACTTTAGTTCCAGGTGATACACAGGTGAAAGTCTTCTGAACTGCATTCTCCTGCACTAAATTGTTAATAGGTTCACGCAGATCCCCATGGCATTACCATTTAAGTTATTATATTGCTACTATAAAATACTCCCTTCTTCAAGAAACTGCAATGGCATCAAATCCAAACTCTTCTTTTAACCTTTAAAGTCTCCCACTAACTTTGGTACCTCTTTCACAGTCTCATCTATTATTATGAACTAACATGAATTCTGGAGCAATATCGTTCAGCACATCCCATGCCAACAACTTTCCTGGTCCAAGTAATGTACCCTTGAATTTTCCATACCTATTTTCTCCTGCAAATCCCTAATCAAAACTAAAATCTTAAAAAAAAAAACTAAAATCTTCTAGAAAGCTTTTCCTGAGTAAAGGAGAGACGCAAGTAGAATGGGTGACTCTAAGTCTCATTAGTATAGGTGTTTAACAGTCTCACTTTTCTCTACAATGATACTTTTCAAATCTTCTTAGTTCTTTTAAGTATTGGTCTACATTGCTCTGAATACAGGAAACACTCCTAAAAGGAGAGATATTTGAAAGGAAAAAGAAAACTGTACAGTATGTTTTATGATAAAAGAGAACATGAATTACAGGACACTCAGTTTGGGGGGGGCGAGGAATGTGATGTATACAGAAACCAATATTATTTTTCATATCTACAATCAGTAATTTAAGCTTCTGCAGGCAGGGATTATATAGTGTCTATTTACTTAGTATCTCAAATGTCTACTACATTACTGTCAACACACAATAGATTCCAATAAAAAATTGTTTTCTCACCTTAACATCAAAATAAAAGTTTTTTTGGTATTAAGTAAAAACATCTTTTTTCTTCAGTCTTTGATATCCTTGATGGTGACTAATGAATATTATTTGTCTCTTTTTCAAGCTTTTACTACATTAAGTCAACTGGTATGTAAATTCCCTCCACCCACAGATGGTGACCAATCTATAACAGTGGATTAATCTTGGGCAGTTAGTTTGCCTGAAGCTCAAAAAGGTTATCAGTCAGGTTCCCACAACTATAAGAGTGAGAGATGGGCTTTGGATTCAGGTCCCCCTGATTCTAAGTCCAGCACTAGCCTGAACTAGTGCGCAACCCTGCCTCTCATGTTCTAAAGATTAGTGACTAGACCTGTGATTTTATTGGGATAGATAACTACCACATGAGGAACTCTATCTATCAATGCAGGTCAGCACCTTCCCTCCAATGTATTGTAATCCTAAAGAGCTGTTTACAGCAAAGGGGTCAAACACTCACAACATTCCCTATACCACCAGAAACAGATTAAAATGTAATGGGGAAACAATTACCAAAATAAATAAAAATACAAAATAGAAAAATAGAACATAGGTAATGTTAATATGTGTTTTTAAGTCAACGTGCAGCCTGCAAGGACAGTGGCCCAATTTCTATTTGAGTCTGACACCACTGATGCAGAGCTATGAAAGGTCAAGGCTCTTGCCCAAGGTCACAACAGCCACGAGGGGTCAGATGGGAGACTTAAAGCCAGGTCTTCCTGATTTTGAGACAGCAATCAACTGACTACTTGTTCTTAGAAATGAGAAAAAAACAACAATCCAATTAACAGAATCAAGAGAGGAAAAAAAAAAATGTTCCTCTCTTCTCTTTTTAAATATATTAAGAATTGTTTGTAAATTTATCATTATAATACAAACCAATTTTGTCATTGTCATTTGGGTTTGGCTACTGATATTAGGAGTGTGACTACAAAAGTACTGTGCTTTCCAACTATTAATGTTAGAGAGTTTTTCAAACATAAAAAAAAAGCTTCCTTGTCAACACTGACTTGCATATTTCCTTAAATAACTGAGCCAGTTAAAAGACGGGGAGGGGAAAAGGGAGGAAAAAAGAAAACAAAGGCTACCACATTTTACCTGCTAACTTGCTTCTATCATCCCCGGCAACAACAACAATCCAGTCTCTCTGAATTGTGATCCCAGTTGCAGTGCTGGCCAAATTTGCAATATTTGCAATACTGATGATCACAATATAACAGGAAGTCTAAGGAATCACAAAGGGAGAAATCAGGGTTAAAATTCTAATCTTAAAGAATTCCTTCGCAACAACTTTACACATTATTCTTTGGTAACATAATTAAGTGGTTCAAATTTTAACTTTCATTTCATAACATTCATTTTATTTTCAAAATACATTAGTAAAATGTGTTAGAGGTCCCCCAAGGTTAGAAAGTACTTTGGAATTCATCTATTTTCTTCATCTTAGGTCATTTGTTTTACAGAAATTAAGTAAATGTTGAAATATTCATAAAGACAATTTAAGGCAAAATGGCCAAAAATACGTTTGTGAAGTATGCCCTCTCTAGACAGAGTTGAGGCAACAAGGCCACTCAGTGAATAGAGCTCAGAGCCTGGAATCTGGAAAACTTGAGTTCAAATTTGGCTTCAGATACTTACTAGATGTCATTTAAACTGCCTCAGTTTTCTCAAATGTAAAATGGGGATAAGAATAGCACCTACTTAACAGGGTTGGATCAAATCAGATAGTTTTTGTAAAACTGCTTAGCCTAGTGCCTAGCAAGATATAAATACTTATTCTCTTCCAAACCCTTCCCTCAGACACATGCCCACAGAAAGAAATATATAGAATATCTGTTCTTTCTTTCCTCATGGCCCAGTTTCATTAAGTGACATTCAGCCCTTTGTTTTTCATAACACTATTCCTCTTTTCTCGATGCAGCCACCACCATAGAACCACAGTATGAAGGGCTATTGAGAAATCATTTAATTCAGTCCCCAAGTCATCATACTATGTTTGTCTGAGAGTTATAGTATTGGTTAATCCCAATAGCAATGTAGTCCCTCATAGTAACAGACAGCTCTCAACAATTTGCTGAAACCTTATGAACAGAATTAAAAGAAGAAACCATGCTTAAATCTTTTATTACTAGCACCTGTTAATATCTTTTCATTAAAGTATTTAATTGAGAACTTACAAGAACCCATCCATTGTACATGGTCAGAAGATCAGTTTTATGTAAGAAAACTATCATTAGGATGATACCACATGTGATGACGGAAACATTCTGTACAATCAAAGAAGTCTGGGCCACTACAGTAAGAGAGTAAAAAACAATTACTTATAATACACAACAGTATTGGGTGAGATGATACTCACTTTCACTTCAGTGTTGGAATTGCTTAAAGATATAAGTGCAGTAAGTAGCATACACCTACAAATACACACAAAACAACTCTGCTGATTCACTGAATTAAATCCTATCTCAGCTATTCTCTATACCTCCCCCAATCATACTCTAAATCAAACAAGAATAACTTACACACAAAATAAGGTATACCCAACACAAGTGACTATGATCACTCATAATGAGCAATTCCTAAAGCATCACGTGAGAAACTGTTTATTTCATTTTTGATTGGGTTCAGTTTTTTTTTTTTTTGGTAACTATCCTGATTCAAGAAGAAATCAAGTCCTCACTGCTTCTATTACAAAGAAATGACACAGCTCTTATTTCCTGCTTAAGATCCACAGATAAGATATGAAAACTATTTATACTACAGCTAAAATTAGTAATCTTCTACATGGTCAATTGAAACGTACAAGATGAAGTAGTACATAGAGAAGTTTGCCAAGAATAAATAAATATTGTTCCTGCCAAATCATTAGTTATCTTCTCCTCAAACAATTTTAGCATTTCTAGAGCAGATGATAGTGGAAAGAATTAGAAATCTAGAATTAGTCTAGACTTAGACAATCTTAGAAGCCTAGAGTTAGAGTCAGAAAACCTGGGTTCAAGTCAATCAATAAACATTTTAATCAATAAATAAATATTTATTAAGTACCTACTATGTGCCAGGCAGTGTGCTAAGTGCTGGGGATACACAAAGAGGTAAAAGACAGTCCTTGCCCTCAAGGAGCATACAAGGTAATGGAAGTTCCAAATTTCCCCCTGGCTACTTATGTGACCTTTGAAAACTCCCTCAATCTTTCTGTGCTGGAATGATTCTTATCTGAAGAACGGAGAGAATGCCTGCCCTGCACACCTCATAGGGTTATTGTGAAGGTATAATATTCTATCATTTCTGAAAGCATTTAGAAAGTAATATATTGCTATATAAGTAAAAAATAATTTTTAAAAACCTTCTTTACCCTACTTCTCAATTTTTTAATTACTACAAAAAAGACTAAAGCTCACCAGTGTTAACATTATGAGCTAACCAAAAAATAAGCATGCCCTCCCTACCTTGTAACATTCAAAATAACTAGGGGATAAATTTAGAACACAAAACTTTCCTTCAGAGAGCTGGTTTGAAGACCAGAGAAGTTAAAGTTAACTTTACATTTTCTAGGACTTCTAACAATCTTGTCAGGCCTTCTTGGTTACAATTAAGTGGGTAATTCAGGAAATTTTTACCTGAATTATCTGCTTTGACCATCTATACTGCCATAAGTCAGTAGACAACTGAAACTGTTCAATCCTTCGATTAATATCTTTGCTGTGTGGAACTGGCTTCTCCAATTGTGCAGTGTGGAGAAAAGTAAGTAAGAAGCAACAATATCTAATGAAAATTCCAACATAATATGGCCTATTACTCTATGTATACAGATATAAAACCTTGCACTGATATTGGACTTTCAGATTTTAGATTTCAAATCCTCCCAAACACCACTATATGAAAGCCCCACTTAAGGATAGTTTGCCTATAAGGTAGTTATACATCCTATCCTCTAGCAGTAGTCTTATAAGGAGATTCCATTTCATTTCCAAGAGAAATCAAGCGAGAGTTAAGCCAGCTTTTAATGTTTAACATGGTTCTCAGAAAAGTGTCACTTGATGTTAATTATTAACATCTGGACTTTATCAGGAGCTATAGGTATTTTTTAAAGTTCTTTATTTATTCCCTCAGCACAAATGTGACAGGCATTCCTACATGGTCCAGGATCTAGGTTCCCCACTCCCAATAGAAAATGCTGCCATCAAGTGGCATCAAGGTAGGCATTTAATAAATATTTGGTGGGCTGAAGTCTTTCATCTACTCAGCTGCCCTCCAATTTGATCATAACTGCCATTGCAGAAGGAACAGTAGAAGACTTTGCAAGAAGGAAAGGATAGCTGTTTTCCTGACACAATATTTCTCATCACTAATTAGATAATTCACTGACTGTTTCTTTCTTCTTCCCCCACACCCTTTTAAATATAGATCAGACAAATGTCTGTCCCCTTGAATTGAAGAGGGCTAGTTCAAAGAACACGAACCTTTAAGCCTTGGGTTTTTATCTACCCAATCTCCAATAATGGCTCCCAGGATCAGAACAGAGCCTGCCACCACCAGCCCGTAGACAGCAGTTAAGAGCAGGCTGTTTCCATAGAGCTCAACCAGAAACACAGATACTGCAAAATGCCACATCCGATCTCCCTTGAATAAAAGAGAAAAAAATGGAAGGAAATGCAAGAGTCCATTAGTATTCTCATTTTCTAGACAATTACACACAGAAAGCTACTTTCTTATTGGAAGAGCCCCTCTAGCTAAGGATTCCAAGTGAGACATTACCTCTTACATATCACTGTCAGACTAGCTAGAAGCAGCTACAAAGAAAGGTAATAGATGGTCCCTGCTCTCTAGGAGCTTACAATCTAATGAGGGAGACAACATTCAAACACCTATGTACAAACAAGCTATATATAGGATAAATAGGAAATAAGGAAATAATTAAAAGAGGGAAGGCACTACAATTAAGAGGAATTGGGAAAGACTTCCTATAGAGGGTGAGATTTTAGTGGATACTGGACGGAAGTCAGAAGGCAGAAATGAGGAAAGAAGAGTACTGTATATACAATGTAAATGAGAGGTAATCTCAGTGGGGTAGAGGGTAGGAATGGGTGGGTAAGGAACTGGGACAGGACTCACCAAAACAAAAACAAAAACAAAAAACCCCAACTCTTTTGATACACATTTTTGTCTCCCAAAGTCAACATCTACTTGATAATACAATCATCAGGAGTTAAAATTGGCAACCCTGATGGGACACAGAAGGCATTATACCCCCAATTAGCAGAGTTCACAATGAAAGCCTTGGACATGGAAGAAAAAAAAAAACCATACTCACTCATCAGTCTAAAGAAAAAGATAGACTTAATCAGCAGTTGTTTCCCCCACACCCTATCCCTTATTTCCACTGGGCAACCTAATTGCATCATACTTTGGGATGCACCAAAACCGATCAAGGTAGAACTAAAACAAATTTAGATAAAACCAGATATACCCTTAGTCAGATAATATAACCATGTTGCAGAAGTATAGTTAAATTGAAAGGAGGGACAGTGTTTTATTTTTATTTATTTATTTTTTGTGAGGCAATTGGGGTTAAATGACTTGTCCAGAGTCACACAGCTAAGTAAGTGTTGTGTGTCTAGGGTCACATTTGAACTCAGGTCCTCCTGACTCCAGGGTTAGTGCTCTATCCACTTTGCCACCTAGCTGCCCCTGGGATAGTGTTTTATTGAAACTTAGTACCCATCCCCCAGTGTATGCTCCACAGTTATTTGCACATAGTGGGCATTTAACACAAGTGAAGTTATTTTTTTTTAAGGGTTCAATGAACAAACATCAGTCAGGAAAAGGCCAGTTTCCTCATCTGTGAGATTAAAGGGTTGTGCTTGATAATGTTAAGGTCCTTCCCAACTCTAAGATTCTATGACATGATTTATTCCCTGAGGTAATTTTACAAAAGAAAAAAGTATTTAACAGGAAAAGCAGCTAGATGCAGAAAGATAAGGTTACCAAGTGCCAATTTTGACATTAAATGGACAGAGTTAGTAAAGGGCTTAAGTTTATACACAAAACATATATTTCTAAGTGATTAAAACATTGAAGGGATGAGAATTTCATTTTTTTTAAAAGCACTGCTCCCTACAGCTGAGTAGGTACAATGCGCATGGAATTCAAATGTACCTAAAACAGTAAAACTAAAAATCGATTCTCAAGAAGAATTTAGATAAATTCACGGATCATTGATCCAGGGAACTAGGATCTTCTGAGATATCTTTGATATTAAGCTCAGAGGTTAGGGAAGACAAGCATGGTCTTTCACAACATATACCTAAATGTCATTGTCAGAGATGAAATACTAGATGAATCAATCACAGGTCTTACCCTCTCTGAAGACATATTAGCATGCTCCTAATACACAGATTAAGTTTCTTAGAACATCAAAAAGATAAAATTAAAATAAAACCAAAGTAACAAATAATAGAAGGATTCATCAAAATTAAGATCTGCTGTATTAGAAATTCTTTACGATAAACTTACATCATGATACTTATTTAGCCCCGAAATTAAAAAAAAAATAACATATACCCAAGTCTGAGGGGAAGAGCTCAAGCTATGACATTTTTTCATTACGGTAAAAAAAAATCATACTAAATTGCATCTTAGCTGTGGAACTGGTAAGGACAGGTTATAGAGAGATTAGCAAAGGTGAACAAAACATGGTAAATGATTTATCATCTTATTCTATTCTGCCGTAATGAATGGATTTATATTCTGAATTTAACAGAGCTTTGAAGAGAAATAATCATTAGTAATGAATTACTTGGTGGTGAAAATGTGTAAAGTTTTTTTGAAAACCAGATTTATAAAGCAAAATACACAGGGGGCAGGGCAGTGAGTTTCACTTGAGAAATAAGAGATAGGAAGTTTGTTTTGCTTAAAAATTAACCAAGAATTGGCTATGCTAAAAAAATTACCACATGCTACAATTAAAACAGGAGGCTTTCAAAATCATTGAAAGTACATAACATAAACAAACTACATTTCAGTAATGTGTTTTTTATAATTAACATTATGTACAAACACAAATACATATATATGTGTATATATATATATATACACATATATATATATACACACATATATATATGTTGCAAAAATTCCATTGGTTGAGGGTAGAATTATGTTTGAATAGAGAACAGAGAGGGGAAGATTTTCCTCTAGCATCTAAAACAGTAGGTACCTCTCTCTACAAAAGCGAGCACAAGTGCAAAAACTATGAAGTTGCATCAGCACATGAAATTCTTCTTGCCTAACCTGAAGATTAAGAAATACAGTTCTTCATTTTTTCTTTTGTTTCTTATACTTCTTCCAAAATACTTGGTTTTGGAATCATCTTGAGGAGGTACACCAGTGGGAAACCCGCTTTATTAAATTTGCTTTCCTTCTTGCTCTTTTCTCCCCTCCCTGCCTTGTCACATCCCCAACCCTTCCTCCATACCACTGCTATAGCCATGATGGGGAAGTCAGGCTATTGTTCCAGTTAACCTAAACTTCCAACAGAACTAGAAAGTCAGTCTTATAAGGCATTTCAGATTCGAGTCTATTTAAACGAAAGTCCAAGAATGGGACAGCAGTGATGGCAAAGTAGTATCAAAGGTAGTCCCTGACGCCATTATGTCAGGTTTTTAGGAAGAAAAAAAGAAGCCTCAGTTTCCATATTGTCCCAGTGAATAATAACATATCTTTGTATACAAGACAGTGTGGTGTTGATACAAAAAAAAAAAAAAAACCAACAGCTCTGGACTGGAGTCAGAACATGAGGCTTTGAGACCCACTTTTGCTACTTAGCTGTCTGTGACTTTAGCAAGTCACATTCATCCTCAGTGTCTTCATTTCTTAAACAGGGGGTAGGGGAGAGATGCTAGACAAAATGATCTAAGTTCTTCTGCAGTGTAAACAGCCTATAAAAATGAAACCACCAACCTGAATGTTAATAAGGTGGTAGCCAACAATGTTTCTTCTAGAAACAGGGACTGATTTTATTGACTATTTTACACAGTGCCGCCTTTGTGAATTATAACACCTCTTTGCCTTTGTTCAGAGGGGCAAGCTTCCCTACACTTGAAATGTCTTCTTTTCCTCCCTCCATTAACCTCCAATCTCAAGTGGTAGAAATCCTCCTCATACTTTATAACCTAGCTCAAATACTTTTTCCACAAAGCTTTCCTGGATCCTCTCAGTCAGCATTCTTCCTCTTGCCTCAGACCTCACGCAACCCACTTTTTACATAAGGGCACCGTTGTCCATTATAATTATTTATATACATATCACACGTTCCTTCTAGGGTGTGAATTTCAGGAGGACAGTGGCCATATATTCTCTAAATGACCCTCAGAACATAGGAGGAGTTTAACAAAGGTTTGTTAAAGGTGAAGGCAGGAGAGCTAGGGTTGCAGTCATGGGCATAGACTTCCTGAGCACCAATTTCTGATGAACTGGGCAAATGACCACTTTGGATATAAAAAGTGGAGATTAACTAAAGGTGTCTAGATTTCTTTCCTTATAAAATTTTCTCCCCCTTGTCTCAAAGATGAGATGATCAATTTGTTCCCTCATCTTTTTACCTTGTATTTTTCCATTATCTTTTCATAGATATCAAGTCTCTCTAACAGAATTATAAGTGACTGGAGAGCAGAGGCCTCTTCTGTGTTATCACTCAGTAATTAGCACAGAAGAGATACTCTCAATAATCATTTTTTGATTGGTCCTTACTATCAAACAAAAATATATTCAACCCTAACTTCTAGAGTTTATCCAAGCAAATACAGGTGAAAATAATCGTTCCACCCTAAGAGTTCTCCCAAATGGTAGGAAGAAATTCTTTATGGAAAATGTTTTTTCTAGAATTTAAAACTAGGAGGAAAACTACAGTATTTGAGATTATTTTAATAATCTTTACTTCAAAATGAGAGGGGGAGGAGAAGCTAAATTTTGGAGTATTTTATATTTAACCTTCCCTTTGCCTGGGCTGCTTTGGGATTATATTAACTGGTCATCACTTTGTGGGAGGAGGGGTGATTTTTCAAGTGACTGAGAAATCCTGCTGGAGTGGCAGTTTGTCTCCCTTTTAGACAATCTAACCCCCCCAGACCGATTAACCAAAGCTCAAAGAAATAAACCTTAAACCTGGCAAATATTTGGAAATGAAGCACCTTCTGACTGCATGGACTAATCCTGTGAATAAACCAAGAATGACAAATGCTGTGTTTCTACTGCCATTTATTGATCTCCTGGGCTTATATTTGGTTATGAAAAACAAGCTACAGGTTTAACTTTACTAAGGGCAATTTCCCAAGAGAAATAGAGAGGAAGATAGATAGAGAATACAAGAAGACAGACAGAGAATCTGCCGTGTGGACTGCAACCAACTCACACTAACCACACTTTGTTTACAGTTTATTTGCAGAGTCACTATCATCTGCCCAACCTGATTTAAGACATGTGCCTGCCTTTTTAAAACAGCTACCAAGAAGCTGCTGTTAGATGTTAGAGAGATTAAAGAAACTAAGACTATCTTACATAAAAAACACAGTGCAGACGTTTTTCCAATTTCATTAATGGGTCAAAGATGATCATATAAAACTTTAGGATTTTTAAAAATCCTAAAATCATCCTCAGCTTCTCTCTCAAAATTCTCGTCTCATTTTTAATATAATGTGATACATGAGTACAATGCACTCCACCTATTTTTTTAAAGGAAGAAGTATTTATTAATGAAGGGATTCTTAAATCAATAGTTAGGGACTGACCTACCTTCCTTGTGAAGCTGGCCAGTATAATTATTTTCATTTTGCTGATGACAGAACCTACACATATAATTTTAATTTGGCACACATGGCAAATGAGTGGCATAATTTCTACAAAGTTTTTGATGTTCAAGCATGTTGGTTCATTGGACCACAAAATGGTTTGCTTCACAAATGGCTAACAGCTAACAACATATAAGACCAGCCTTTTTAACCACCTAAATATTCATTCTCATTGATTCTATTTCTTGCACACATAACTGTTAATTCTGGCAACCACTGAATGCCTTCTGTACAATCCCTAGGAGCCCATACTGGAAGCAAACTTCCACCAAAAAAAAATCTTTTTCAAATAGTTTGAAAGAAAAGTTACATGCAATTTTCACTTCTTTTAAAGGGAGAATCACCATTATTCTTCGTGCCAATCTGCTCAGGAGATACACACGGCATATTAAATGACTCAAGGATTTGTGTCATTTTGACTTTTCATTTTTGACACCTGTATCCTATTTTAATGTAATTCTATATAAAACTTATATCAGAGACATCAATTGGGAAACGTGAAGGTAAGAATGTGAATTGTAAAAAAATATGATGGTAAGAATGCTAGTATATATATAAATGCTTATTAAGTGATTCAGCTTTTTAACAGCACCACAAGTCAATTGGAAGTTGATTCAATGGTCACATGTCAGAAGGAAACGTAAACTGTGTGACTTATGCAGCAAATGCAACAGTACATTTTTACTTACCCAGGTGGATAGAGCATGACCAAGGTAGAGAAGAAATTTTGCAGAGGTAACATAGTCTTTAAAGGATCCTGCAATGGAGACAAAGGCAGAAAAGAGTGCATTCAGTCTTTGTGAAAAGATATTCTTATTAATTGTACTACTATATCTCTCTAGTCGTCATCATTTTCTTTCTCTCAAAATTGATTTTGATTAAATCACTTCATGAAGTAAGTCCTGCAACTCTCACCAGGTTCCTGAAATAAAAGAGACATCTTGTTTTTTTGACTATGAAGTCACTTAATTTGAGTACATCCAGCACATGAGGAATTGCATAAAATGAAGACAGATAGGTATCACTTCAGTCTGCTTCCCTTCTCCTTTTACCCAGGGCCACACACACTCTTCCCCACACCATTCCCATTCCAGACTTAAATATCTATACATAGGGATAGGAAATAGATCTATGATTACATTGCTATAAGGAACTCTTAGGTGAGGAAAGTCCCTCTACATCGCAGGGCAGCAACTTCTCTGCAACTTTTGCTCCTCAAGAGTTCCCTGGATCATGGAGAGCTTAAGTGATTTGCTTAGGGTCACACAGCCGGTATGTGTCAGAGGAAGGCTGGAATTGGGGTCTTCCTGGCTTCCAGACTACTGCGCCCAGCACTGACTCTCTGTCATGTTTATACAGTACACAAATGACCCCTTTTAGCTCACTTCTAAACTATTGAACCCATAAATTCCTCTGCTCCCCATTTTTCACCAAAAATACAAGATTGCTACCAAAAATTCTTGCAGCTAATAGCTACATCTTCACCCAACCTGCTTACCCACATATACCCATTAGATTAACTGATATAAGAAACAGAGCTGGTCATGTCCCCACTCACCGCAGCATCCTCCACGAGTGTTTTGGTCATTGTTAGGGGTCATGACAACAGGAGCTCCTTGTTGACTTTTCTTTGTCCTCTGCTGTTGCTGCTGCTATCGATGTTTGGATGTTTTTGTGGTTAACTGGAGTGCAAATAACTGGAGATAGCACCACCAAAAAGCAAGAAAACAAAACAAAAACAATACGCTGGAAAACTTTTTAAAAATTAAAAAAAAAAAAGGCAACCCGGGATTTCTCTTTGTTTTCTTTCCAAACTTAGCTATCACTGTAGCTGAAGTTGGAAAGCTATAGCCTTATGGCTAGGAGAGAAGGGCAGGCAGGGTCCAGACGGCTGTTGGGGGGGCCTCAACAGAGGCTCCCAGCTGCCGAGGCTGTCACCGAGGCCAGGGCCTCCACCCGAACTCTTATACCGGGCCTGGGGGTGGAGCTCATGAGGGCGGGCACCTGGCCAGCGCTCGCACCACGTGAGCTCACCCCGCGAGTGCCGGGCGCTGACTGGCGAACTGGGGTGCATCCCTCCACCCTCTACTAGAGTCGTCTCCGTGGAGGCAGAACCTTCGCTCTTATCAATAAAAAGCTGCCCAGACACTCCAGGACTCGCACCTCCGCGCACGAGACGTGGGAAGCCTGGGAGCATTTTCGTGCGTGGAGACTCCAGTTGTCCAGGTTTTCTCCTGTGCTTGAGGAGGAAGGCGAAGAGAACCTGGGTGGGGGGAGAGGTGGGAGGCGAGCCTGGAAAGAAGGGGGCGGGGATATGGGAGAGAGGGAGGGGATATGCTCAGCCTTGACCGCCCGAGGGGCTCTGGTGAGGATTCGCTTGCGCATACTCGGTCCTAGTACCAGAGGGTGGGGGAAGAGCAGATGGTATGGCACCTTGTGGAAGTCTCAAGCTATCAACGTGGGTTTTTCCAGTGAAGGAGAATCTCTGGAGTAGCCCGTTTCACGAAAATAACTTCCCTGGCCATTCCCTTTTCTTCAACTTTCTGAGAGCCTTGATGCACACATTGCATTTAGAGAATAGGGTGACTGTAAGGGGAAATAACTAGGTTCAAGTCCCAAGCTCCACCACTATGTAACCTTGGAAAAGTCGCAGCCCCTTAGCTTAATTACCCGAAGAGGAGGCCTGTATTTGTCTCTCTCCTCTTCTTCCTTCCTTCCTTTCTCTTCCTCCTCGTGCTCATCCTCCTCTTCCTCCTCTTCCCCCTTCTTTGTGTCTTTGTTTTTGTCTCTTTCTTCCCCACTCATATTCACATTCTATCTCTGACATCCATTACTTAAAATAGCACTCTTCTACATTAAGCCTTTTCTGACCCCCCTGCTAGTACCCTTCTCTTACTAACTTGCATTTATATTGTATTTATTCTCTATATGTTTATATACGTAAATGTTGTCTCCCCTGGTAATGTGAGCAGCTTGAGTTTCATTTATTTGTCTTTGTATTTCCAGAGCCTAACAGCATTGTCTACATAGTAGGGCTAGGGAATGTAGTTTCGTTGCTATAGGAACTCCCATGTGAATGAACATCTTCCAAAGCAAGTGAGCACCTGCTCTGCAACATAAGTTGCCTAAAAAGTCTTAGAGAGTTGTGTAGAAAACTGAGAGATTAAGTGACGTGCCCAGGAACACACAGCCAATATGTCAGGGGCAGGGCTGACTTCCGAGACCTCTGTGCACTTAGCTACCCTTGTGTCTAAGTGTACAAGTAGGAGCTTCATAAAAGTGTCTTGGTTGCCTGCCAAATGAGAGGAATAGACTAGAACAGTGGTGTCAAACTCCCCCTTTCTATAGGAAGTCTTTCCAACTCCTCTGTTGATTTCCTATTTGTCTTGTATATAGCTTGTTTGTTTGCATGTTGTCAGCCCAATTAGATTGTAAACTCCTAAGTTCCTTGAGGGCAGGGAATGTCTTTTGTTTCTTTTTACACCCCCAGAGTTTAGCACTATGCCTGGCATTTTGTTGTCATTCAGTGATTTTTCAGTCATATCCAACTCTTCATGACCCCATTTGGGGTTTTCTTGGCAAACACACTGGAGTGGTTTGCCATTTCCTTCTCCAGTCCATTTTACAGATAAGAAAACTCTGTAACTCTTGCCCAGGCTAAGTGTCTGAGGTAAGATTTGAATCAGGTTTTTCTGACTCCAGGCCTGACATTCTATCCATTGTGCCACCTAGCTGCCAGGCACTTAGTAGATACTTAATAAATATTGACTGATTGACGAAATGGAAGAGAGGGCCTTTACTTGGTACAGAAGAATCCCTGAGGACTACCTATGGACTTAGTTTTAAAATGTAATATTACCTAGATTTCATTGTATTTTATTTCTTTTAAAAATATTTCCTAGTTACTTTTTAATCTGTTGTGGGGGAAGGGAGTTGTGAGCTGCACATGGCAGCCTGTTTGACACTCCAGACTCGAAGACCTCTCAGGTCCTTTCAGGCTCTTGTGGTCTAAGTCTCTTAGTTCTTATTCTTGAGGCTGCAGTTTGGTGTTCTCCCACATCATCTCGGAATGCCTTTTGAGAGAAGGGAAAAAAGAAGGCAAAGCACTTTCCCCATCATCCTATTCTTCACAAGCTTTTCCCACTGTCCTTTTTTTGTCCTTAGTTTTCTCTACTTCTCCTTGTCTCTGTGTCAGTCTGCAGTCCCTGCTTCTACAGATTCTTTCACTGAGTCCAAAACCCTTCAGACTTTTAAGCCCCTGGAGGGAGTCCTGTCCATCTTCTTTTTCCTACTCAGTCACAATAAAACCCGGAAAATGGACTCTTCCTATTGGCCCTTGGAGTGGAAGTGAACTGAATAGCTAGTTAATTATGGAGGGGAAGACTAGAAAGAACTTATGTAGTAAGCAGTCTCACTGGGCTAGATGTGTACTGCTACAGGGTACAAGGGTGGGGCACTGTTGGATTCAGTTAGGATGTGGTCTGGAGGGTAGAGATAGGACATTTACAGTTTAGTTACTTAACTGGTGTTTTCCTTTCCAAGTCCCCTTTTCTCCCTTCTTTATTCACAAGCCTGTCCTGTCCTTTCACTCCAAAAGAGATTTTGTTCTTTGAGGTGCAGAATTATAGTGATTTTTGCTTTAAGGTTTACATAGCTAACTTTACAGATATATTCCATACTTAGTTAATAGGCACTTTATTATTAAGGCCATTGATGCTAAGCCCAGAGGATAGGAAGGCAAAAAGCAATCCATACCCTTAAGGAACCCATGCTCTAAAGGGGGGAACAAACATAAAAATAACTAAGTACTACAAGATATATGCAGAATAAATGGAAGGTACTCTCAATGGGGAAGGCACTAGTTAGTAGGCGACTGGGACAGGGACTTCTGGAGGGGTTAGGATTGGAGTTGAGCAGAGTCTTCAAGGAAATCAGGGAAACTAGAAAGTAGAGGTGAAGAGGGAAGAACATTCCGAAAATGGTTGGGACAGCCAGTGCAAAGGCGTGGGAAAGGAAATGGAGTGTCCTGCATCTCATGTGATTTCATTTGAGAATAGGTTATTGTTTCATTATATCTTTAAAGAAGCAGAAAACAGCTCACTTAGCTGGGGAAACTGCTGAAAGGAGGACAACTAAGGTCTTTCCATGATAAAAAAAAAAATAGTCCATCATTGCAGTTGGATTTTGTTTTCTAGGACTCACAGCAAAGGGATAATAATACTTTGTTGGTTACAGCGTCTTTCTATTTCAAGGACCTCAAAGTATTTCATAAACATTAATTAATTCTTGCCATTATTATACTTCTCAGGAAGTACTTTACTCATGTAGTACTGTACTCAACTTATAGGTGGTTGTATTGAAGTTAAATGCCTAATATCAGGTGGACACAGTGAGGAAAGTTAGAAGAGTAATGCAAGGCAGCTCCCCTTAAAAGGTGAACTGGGGGAAGGTGGGGAAAGCAAGGGGTATTGAATCTCTTATTTTCTCTTCATTACAATAGGGTCTTTGGGAGCAAAACTTGAGGGAGGGAAAGCAGGGAGTAGAGGATAAGACTGTAGTTTATGTTGCAGTTAAGTGGGAAAAAATATTCTGTGGAAAAAAGGAACTAGAGATGTAAGATCAAATCCTGGGGAGTTGTTTGAAGCTTCACAATAGAAAAGTGGGTTTCCTAGATATAAATAAGGAGGGTGAATCATACACTAACTGTGGTGCATAAAAAGGAAGGGTCATGCAGATAAAAATTAGAAGTGAGTTCCCTAGATTTGGTTAGATTACATATAGTAGAAAACTCTAAATTGAACTAGGAGTTCTGGACTTGCTTTAATCATAAGACCCAGCTAATGTCTCTCACAAATAGATGATGTGAATAGTTGAGAAACAAAGCTTCTGTTTTCATTTTTTAAAAAATCAGGTCTTTAAAATTAAGGGAATGGACTGGATAATCTCTAAGATTGCTTCTAGTTGCAAAATTCTCTGATTTTCTGATTACTTATATTTTATCCAGAAAGCAAGGAATACTATTTTTTTTCTCTGTTTGTTGATCGCTACTTCAACTTGCTACTGCCAAGACAGAAGAAAGAAAATTAGATAGCCTAAGAACTTTTTTTCATTTAATTTTCTGGATTAAAAAAAAGTTTGCATATAGATTAACTTCCTTTAAATCCTAGGAAGAGAATAAAATATGTGTTCTAGTTTAAAAACATTAACAAATACAACCCCATTTGGGAAAGAAAAGAGGTTGTTTTTTTTTTTACTTACCCCCCCAAAGTGACTCGAGTTTCCTCTGCTACATCCAATGGTCTCACCAACACCGAAAGGAGTGCAAAGGATGCTCCTCAGCACATTGCTTTGAAGAGAAGTAATATAGTTGTCATCATTTATTACAGGAAAAACTCAGAGTCTAAAACTCTGCTCTTTTTGGATGAAAAGCCTTTTAACCTACCTCTGAGTTTTAAAGCCATGTTATAGGTGTATCTTTTCCATGTTATAGGCATTATTTCAAGCATCGCTTGACATTTTCTATAATCTATGGATGTCAAATCGTCCCCTTGTGAAATGTTAAGTAGTAAGCACCAATTTTGATGTATATTCCCTTGCTCCTCTAATCATGTTGTCTGACCTCCAAACATACCCGGTGCTGAAAGGCGTCTGCATGCGTCTAGATCAACACATACACATAAGCACATACACACTTTATAGATAAGCTACAGTTTCCTGTTTGAAACTGTAATAAAGGCTATGTCCAGAAACTTCCAAGAGTCTAGGATGCATCATGTGGCATTTTTCAGTAGTAATGTTTATTGGGCCAATAGACTCATAAAGGCTAGAAGATAACTTGAGGTCATCTAGTTCATCACCCCTCTGCTTGATATACAAACATCCAAGGAAAGAGTCTCATTTTCTTTAAGGTTTTCAAAAAAGGAAATGTAGACAATCACCTTAAAATAATTTA